AGCAGGAAACGCTGCATTTGGGGTTTTTTTATAGGCGGCACGGCTTTTGGTAACCCCAGGGGGCAATTCCCCCCGCCCCTGCTTGCAGGTGAGCTTACGGAAAGGCACTGGATGGACTCAAAGCCCTCACGGGACGGTACCGGGCTGTGCTGTGTTCTGCTCCGGTAGGGGCCGGCGAGAGGGAAGCTCTCACAAGGCACAGCCTCATCCTTGGTGCCAGAGCAGGAAAACAACCAGTGCCAGGCTGCCCCACAGGCGCTTGGCCTCCAGGCTGTGGGGGCTCCCTCACGCGCGACAGCACCAGACTCCCAGCAGGCACGGATGGCACCCATCTGAAGTAGAGAGAGAAGAGTTCTTCCCTCCCCTTTCCCAGGCTCAGCTTCACCCCTGGCTCCTCTCCTCCCGCTCGTTACTGCCGCAGGTCACACCGGGTCCCCTCAGCCAGGCCACGAGGGGTGCAGGGGGCAGGGTCCCTGCACAGCGGGGCCTCACGCTTTGCCCGTGCTCCCCCCCGGCTCCTCTGCAGGCTGCAGCCCCTTCGGGGGGATCGACCCTGGCGGGCAGGTGAGGTCCCCACAGCTGCTCGCCCCCCCCTCAGCGGGATGGGGGCAAGAATTGGAGGGGCAAAAGTGAGAAAAAACTCGTGGATCGAGATAGGGACGGTGGAACAAGGGAAGGAAACTCCCTTGGGAAATACTCACAGAACCACAGCGCAGCTGAGGTCGGAAGGGATCTCTGGAGGTCACCGGGCCCAGGCCCTGCTCAGGCAGGGCCACCTATGCCACCTGCCCAGGGCCACGGATCAGGAAAAGGGGACGTCATCTTCTCGGCATAAGCAGTGCTAACCAACTTGTGGATATCGCCCCTTATTTATGGCTTGTTGTCCACCTGGTCAACTCTATCCGTTTCCTGGTCCTCACCACTGCCCATCCCATCGTACGGTCCCCCAGGAGAAGGGATCAAATCCTGGTGCGCTCAGCCTCTACCAGCGTTTGTGGGACAGGACTAAGGAGAACAGGATAAACGCAACGAGTTTCTCAACTCCCTTTCTTCTTGGGGGAAAGCGCTGTTCCACTGCTGATGGGTGCCCGGGAACAAAGGCACCGGGGGATAATCCGTGGACCAGGGTGGAAACAAGCCAGACAGACCGTGTGTTGTAGCGCCCGACTCATTCAGAGCATCACCCCGCTCTGCCAGACACGTCACCCCCAAGCAGCAGTTAAACGGCCGCATGTTGCCACCGGTGAAGTAACAACCGGCCAGTGCCATGCGCCAGCCTGGCATCGCGCACGTAGGCGCTTACGGTGCCGCAGCTCAGGAGCTGGCTGAAGGACGGGGGTTTATTGTAAGCGCGCTGGCGTGACGGCAGAAGCTGCCTGACGCGCCCCAGGCACGTCTGGAATCTGAACGCCAGCCTCACCCCACTACACAGCGAAGGCACAAACGCTTACACAAGGGGTCCTGTTGCGGTGAAATCTCATCCAAAATGGCTTCACCGATTTTGACCTGTCTGGTGCTGTGAAGCACGTACAGGAGTCCATCTAATACCAGAAACCTCTACTTCTCCCTAAAAAAAAACAGCTCCAAGTTGACACTTGCTTTATTAATAACATTCAAGGATCAAAATCTTAAAGCCTGTTGCTCTTTTTCCAAAACCTCCAGGTTGTGAAGAGGACATTCTCACCCAACATCTTCAGCGCCTTCGTTTGAAAATGCCAACAAAGTAGAATCTCATTTCAAGCGTTTCATAGCTGAGCCAAGCAACGTGAAAACTGACTTGCAAAAGAAGCGATACAGCCCGACATCCATGCTGCAAGTTTACCTTCCCACAACCTTTAGGGATTCCAGGTCAGTTCTTCCCACCAAAAAGATGCTGCAGTGGCAAAAAGATTATGCTGGGGAAACAACAACAACAAGAGCACATTACACTTGAAATACATCTCTGAGAGCTGCAAGAACGAGGTCATTTCTGTCCACCAGAAAGACAACCCTGGCACAGAAGAATGCAGAGGAAGACCAAAAACCCAGAGGAACCACAAAGGATAACTTGGGCCGTAACAGTCCAGTCTCGATGGTTCGAGGGACTGGCACACATCACAACTAACGGGGAGTTTTGTTTCTTCAGACTACTCTTGCGGGAATCAGCTTCAGCAGCCTTGGAGCACTCCCTTGGGCAGTGATGAACAGCGGCTGCTTGCAGGGTTCCTCGAACATTGGTTTAGAAAAGTGTCTTTGGGAGTCAAAGTTACAAAGGCCACAGCTGCTAAGAGGCCAAAAAAGAGTCCTGCTTACCTTCAGGGGATTGAAGGTCTGTCCTGGGAAGGCCCTGCTAGAAGGGGGAGCGGGTAGGTCCCTTAGAAATGGGGCTGGAGATGGCGCTCCTCAGCTGATGGAAGCCACAGCACAGGAGGGCTACTACTGAGGTCGGTAACCCTCCCGTGAGGAGGTGTTTTCCCCAGAAGACAGCTCAGAAGAGGAACACTGATTGGGAATGCATTGGCACCTTCCCACAAGACAAAAGGACATCCCTGAATGTTCCTTTGCCTTGGGAGACTTTGGTTTAGCCACAGAAAAGAGGTACCCATTGCTCAAGGGAATGTAGAATCACCTGAGCTGCCAGAACCAGGCGCAGCCTCTGAGCCAGGCTCAGACATAGCCAGGACTGCATCCGCTCATAGCTGCAGTATTCGTACCTTCTCCAGAACTTTGAGAGGCCTCTTCCTTCTGACTCCACGGTTCCTTTGTTTGCCATGGGGTCCATTTGCTGCAGGAGCTGCCTGGTGCCCTCAGCCTGGTCGGTCGCTCTTCTTTGTCCACGGTTGGACTCTGCAGGTCCCCCTGTAAGAAACAGCAGCAAGAACAAAACCACAGGCTCGCTCTCTCCACACTCCCTGCAGACCCAGCGGCAAACCCTGAAACCGAGAGCTGGGCCCTGGCTCTGGCTGACGTGACACCTGGGAGGTTTTGAACCAACCACAGCGCAGGCTGGTCTGGACATGGGCTCCAAAGGAGCTACGTAGCCTCGCTCTAGGCGGGGGAATTCCTTGTGTGGGAAGAGAGCCTCAGCCAGAGCCATTGGTGGCCTGCCGCTTTGCGGTGGTTGTGCTGCCGAGTCTCACGTGCTGGAAAATACCAGCTCGGTTTGTAAAGGAAAAGGAACACCAATGTAATCCTCGCAGCGTTTGACTTAATATGACTGGTTTGAACAAAACAATCCAGGAATTCCTTACTTACAGAAACTCACTGGGCTACAGCCCACGGCAGAGGATGCTGGACTGAACTCAGGCGCATTTTCTTTGAAGGAATTCTGAAAGGAAAAGGAAGCCCAGAACTGTTACACAAGGTCAAACTCCATTGTTCAGGAGATTTTACTTTGCTTGCTTGCAGAACTGAAAGGCAAGGTCTACTCGCTCGGTCTGTGATTTTAGGTTTTTCCCGCTACTATGAGGACTTTCCTCACCAATATATTTCTACCCCTCCCTCCTCAGGACATCGCAGGCCTAACACAAAGCTGTCATTCACTGAGTAGACTTTAACACAGCAGACAGTGAAAGAGTAACAGCAGCTACGGCACAGGCAGAGCTTTGAAAGCACATGAACAGAGGCGCTGTGGGGAACCACAGCCACTGGACAACACGGGCCCTGAGACGTGAGCCCTGCAGGACACAGTCATAGCAAACAGAGTGGCAGGCAAGGGGCAAAAGTGGAAAGTGCCAGAAGCAAGAGGTGAGCCAGGAAGAGCCCTTCGGAAGGCTACCAGCAATGCACAGGACCACAAACAACAAAACCAGCAGGGACGCTGCTTAGAGAGCGTAAAGCAACGCTGCCATAGAGAGCAGATCCACTCCCCGATGGTCTTTCTCTTGCACTAAGCTCAGGTTCACCCAGAATTCCAGACTTTAGGCGGCCCGAGATCTTTGCATTTTCGTCCCAGAGGATTATCCTGATCAGGAAAATTATCTGCAGTGACAGGCTGAGTGTCTCTCCCTTCTCTCCTTGTCATCTGCTGGGACACGTGGGAAGCGGAAAGACGCACAGGCTCAGCTCTGGTCACCCTGACCAGCCAGCCTCCTCTCCAAATCGCAGGCCTAGCAGGCATTTGGATGAGAGCTGAAAATGCGATCCATTGCACAGCCAGGTGACTGCGGCACCTCCACGCTCCTCCTCCTGAACCCAGCGCCAATCTTGTAACGTCAACCCTACGTGTCCTCAGCAGACAGACTTCCTCCACATTTCACGAGACCCTTCCCTTTTTGAGATGCCTTCTAAAACATGGGTGGCTTTGGATCCAAATCATGCACTGCTGATAAAGTGAGCAAGAGCCCTGGGGGAACACCCAAAAATCCTGAGAAAGTACAGGAGCTCCTGGCATGCTTTGTCCTAAATCCAATCTTTCTTCTCATCCCAAATACCGGAAGAAACCAACTGGAAAGCAAACCAAATGGAAAGCGTGTCATGGGAGTGCCTGGTCTCCTAAAAAGGCACAGAAGGGAGAGGTCATCTGCCCATGATTTCATGCGGTACTTGTGGCATCTGGTCTAGCATTCACAGGGACAGCAGTTGGTGTCTGGACACTCCTCTCAGCGTAACAGTGCCCTGACCAGCACAGGTTTCAGGTGCAGATTTCATGGTGGCACAAGCATCTGCTCCGGAGAAGGTTCTTCTCACCTGAACTGGTATTTGCCGAGTTGATGATTCATTCGGGAGAGTTCCACTTTTCCTGGAAAGAGCCCAGGACATGTCCTCCCACATCAGGTGACACAATATGAGGTCACGGTGATGTCTGCCACCTACCACATTATGTCTCAGGGTCCAACCTGGAGCTCCAGCTTTCAAGGACTCTCACGTTTGGGAAATGCAGCCACTGTACAAGGAGTGGAGGCATTCTGGGGACAGCGGCTCTAGCAAAGCAGGAAATGAAAGAGCATCTTTCCGAGGATGACCCTTATCCCACCAACAGTGTCTGGAGCCCCCGAGGAAAGAAGCCAGAAAGGGCCTGTGTAGAGACCTGCCACCAATCCTGCAAGGCAAGCTGAGGGGAAGAAAAAGTGATACAGGTCTGAGAGACAAACAAGCCCGCTTCTTTTAGAGAAGCTCTTCGGTACCGAGTGCTCCCGAGGAGTTACCAGGCAGCCTCCTTCCTACCTTGAAAATCCAGCAAACCTGCCAAAAACCCCTCTTCTGCAAGAAAGCTTTGGGCTTACAACAAGGCCAGGGCGCTCTCAATACAGGAGTTTATCTGTGCAGGCTGAAGGTAACCATGCAACTCGCAGCACCTGACATTGCAGGCTATTGCATACGCACTGAATCCCTGCAGAGCAATCGTGCTGGGACTGGCCCTTGGAAACCAGTTCTGCAGGAGCGAGCAGGCGGTACGGCCCGGCCATCTGAGATTTCAAGCAAGCCCACGGGTGGCATTTGCGTAGAGACTCAGCCAGTTGTGGAGAGGTCCAAAAGCCTCCTGAAATGGGGGCAGCACGTCATCCTGCAGAAACACGCAGAAATCCAGGAATTTGGTGCAACTGCTCACCTCCCAGGGAACAGCAGGAGAAGAAGCTGTCCCTTTTCTACTACCAGGCAGCTTTCTTTGCGGACGATCCCATGAGGAATGAGTTTGCCTCCTCAGAAAAGACTCTGTCCTAGGAGGTGGAGAGGGAAAAAGGCCAGGAAGGCCACAGCGTGCCAGGGATTTGCACTAAATTTAGAATGGGTACCAGTATCCAGAAAATGGATGAAATGCACCGGCATGCTTAGGAGGATGGGCAACAGCCAGGAGGAAGAGAAGAGGGGCGTTGAGGAAGGCCCTGTTACCTAAAGGCTGTGCCCAACACCAGCCCTGTCAGAGCAGCCTTTTAGCCTGCGGGCTAAAAGAGGAAGAATCTTCCCCTCCTGACAAGGTCTTTGGAGAACAGTGGGTTTGGAAAGCAGCTGACAATCCCTCTGGAACAATCCTGCTGCAAACCTGCCTTCCGATGCCATAGCGAGAAAGGGCACGATGCTGCTTCAAGAAGAGGGAGACGCCTGCAAGGCCATCTGCACAGGGAAGGGACACTGGTGGGGGTGGCAAGCACCCACGCTGAAGTCAGCGTCAAGGTGTCAGCACCCACTCTTGGCCCTCAG